GATGAAGAGGGACGAAGAAAGACCTGCTTCCGAGAAAGTCATAGCACAAGTATTTGTTAATGAGAACAAAGCAATGATTGGTGGCTCACGACGACATGGCATCAATCTCAAGTTGGACGAGTCATGGGAAAAGATTCATCACCGACAGCAGAGGGCAAGAGAGTCAATATAGAAACCCGAGAAAATGGCAGAGGGAGGGGAGGAAAAAACCATTGAGGGCAACCAGGAAAATAGTGCTCAGAACAACTTTGGGGTACACCTTTGTATTGCTGAAAAAAGGCAGTGGGGTATAAAACTTCTATAAAAAGAAAGACTAGAGGGTTTTGTAGAAAGATTAACACAAAGGCCAAATGAATGGAGCCGATAGAATATGGTACTTCCAGGTGGTATCGTACACTCCCGGCGTTTCTGCCAGACTGCACACTTACAGTGGACAGCCCGAGCATAGTCTGAATTCCACCAGGGAATGCACTTTCACGTGCACTGAGGAGTAGAGTGAGAAACAGTGGAGAGCAGTGACTAATATATGGCGTCATGAAAAAGGGGACTTCGAGGGAGAAGATGATCACAGGTCAAAGCATAGCGAGAGAGGGTGTATAGATTCCAGTTAACCTTGGCAAACTGCCCCTAGGCAAGGAGAAAGTACAAAAGTGACAAGGATGGGAAATGCTCACTTAGTCTTGTGCAGATACGCGATTTTTCGCGGCAGGGGATCGTATTCCAGGGACCATAGGATTAAGGACTTGCCCGAAACGCTACGCGTACTAGTGGCTGTACAAGAATGTAACAACTTTTATACATCTCAAAAAAAAAAAAAAAGAAAAAAGGAGGTCAAGAATCTGCCACGTGAAATCTAAATGAAGAAAACCGAGAGAGATAGTGGAAAGGGTGCAATTGCAACAGTGAACTCTCCAGAATTCAGAAGAAACGGGACAAACTGTTCAAGGCAGCACCCTCGGGCATTTGTCAGAGCATCGCCCCCCAGAGAATATGTCTACAGTTAAAAATTACCCAAAGGGAGTACAGGTTCCGGCAAGGAGTTCAACAGTCATTCAAGATCAGGAAGCGAGGAGAGTAAAATGATACGGAAACCAATACCGACAGTAGTAGAAAAGAATTAACTGGAAAAGTGGAACAAGCTGAATATCATTACAGATCAAGAAAGCAGTAGATTTTGGGGCTCGAGCAAAACCGAAAGGGAGAAGAACGAGGGATGAAAATCACGGAAGCGACCAGGACGAGTGCCATGTATCTTCCGAGACTGACAGTAAATTTAGTGATCAGAAGCTGGTCATGGAGGTTAGCATAGAACCTAGAAATATTTAAGAATGCAAACCACTTTGTCGTCTAGAGCAAAGGCAAAGCGGAATCCAAGATACTAGATATATCAAGGTCAGTGACATCAGGTTATAGGTAAATCTGGGCCAGACGATCTAGTCATGGGGGCAGTAGGATGGACCAGAGGCAGAGTCTGGAGGGGGAGGAGGCAGCAGAGAAGGGCGGTAAAGGGAATCAGAGGGGGGGGGGAGGGAAAACCATGGGAGCGCACTTTATAAAGGGTAGCATCAGAATCTAGGGTTAATGGACTTAGACGTTGTGTCAAGAGACTCCGCCATTCACGAGAGATACAGGGATCTAGTCTGACACGGAAGGCGAGGGATGCAATTAGCTTTCTTACCTGCCGGGGAGACATGATAGAAGCCAGGTTTAGGTTTCTGTAACTGCTCCCGTTCTTTCTCTCCAAAGATTGGAGGCGGCGACCCCGTACACCACTAGTAATGTTCCGACATGCTCTACAGTCGCAGAAGCGGTCAACACAGACTGCTGGGAGTAAAGTGAAACACACCCTAGACGGACAGGTGTTGTAGAGGGGGTGGGGGGGAGTGGGAAGGAGCAAGAAGGATCGAGTCTAAAGGGGAAGGAGGGGCATAAGAGACCGGGAAGGAGCAAGAAGGATCGAGTCTAAAGGGGAAGGAGGGGCATAAGAGACCGGGAAGGAGCAAGAAGGATCGAGTCTAAAGGGGAAGGAGGGGCATAAGAGACCGGGAAGGAGCAAGAAGGATCGAGTCTAAAGGGGAAGGAGGGGCATAAGAGACCGGGAAGGAGCAAGAAGGATCGAGTCTAAAGGGGAAGGAGGGGCATAAGAGACCGGGAAGGAAGGAAATGAGGGAAGATGGTGAACATATCGCCTAGGGAAAAAAATAATCGTTTTGTTTCAAATTTATGATCATCCTCATGTGTAGTACACACATTTGAGGGGGGAGTAAGCAAGGTGGGAGTCTCCGTAATTATCACGTGAACGGATGGGGGGGGGATGGAGGAACTATTTGAATGACCCCAAAGACTACACAAGGGGCCTAGACATGCCTCCTTGTGCTTTTTAAGGGACCATGGCCAAATCTCCAGCACCTACTGCAGAGCTGAGCATCTGGCACCCGGCAAGAATTCAGGTAGAGACTTATCAAAAGGGATTTTCATTATACGAAGAGGTTGGCGACGACGACCACGAGAAGGACGAGTGGGTGCATCAGTCTAAGGATAAGATGGCCTTTGTGCCTCAAAGTTATATTAATATCTTTGAAGCAGTCTTTCAGTGCCCCATCAGTCACAACATGGTGAGGGAGAATAACTGCCAATACTGGCATTTAACCGGACATTTGAGTTCCGAACAGGGGACCGTCTCCAATGCAGGACAATGAAGCCAAGTGGTCGGCCACTTCCCGAGAAGTGTCAGCAACATGTGTACCAGTACGGGTGGGGTGAAAAGGGACAGGTATCCATCGAATCAACTAGGCATTTATAGATGAATAAATCAGTGCACAAGACCAAAATAACAGATCAAAATGCCTTGTCCATTTAGCAGAATCAAACAAATGCTGGAAAGTAGAAGATTGGGTAAGAATCATGCTTGTTCGAATATGAAAGGTGACGACGCTGAGCACCCCCACCCCCAGTAAGAGGGGGGGGGGGTAAAAGGTGCAGTTGTTACAATGAGAGGGAGCTCGCCAGTTTGTGGTCGGCACCACTGGAGGCTTTGACTCAACGCTGCCACAGAGGTGGGATGGGAGCAGAGGTGGTTGGGAGAATCAAAAGCAGCTTTGAGCCCAATGTAGCAGGGGTTACAGAGCCTGGCGTTCCATCACAGTCCGACTCGGGTGCCTGGTGGCCCACCCAACGAGTCTGAAGTTGAATCGTGTTCAGAAGTCTGCATAGAACTAACATCAATATAATTTCATCACCAATTATGCCTCTACACCCACCATGGAGCAACTATTATGAGGGAGAGAGAGCCCGATACAGCCAGCTTGCATCGTGGACAACACAGAGGGTCTTACGCCACCCGGTGTCAAACCAGAAGATAACAGCATTCAAGAACGGCACCAAATCGGCTGGTAGGAGCAATCAAAGTAAATCCTCCCCAACCAGGATTCGAACCCAGGACAGCATTCGTGAAACGCCAGGCGAGTGTTACACTACAACACGGGGACTGCCTAGACACATTTTAGGATTAAGTGCAATAGCCAATGAAAATAACCCATTTTTAAAACTGTAGGAAACCGACTACATTGAAGGACATTGTCAACAGCCTGGTTAATGTACACTTCATTTACTATATAAGCACTGCCCCCCCCCTCCCCGCCCCTTCCCTTTACAACAAGCCTTTTAGACTGAAAGTGTCATTTTTCAGGCCAGTCAAGGGAACCTTCCTCCTCTTCCTCCACTGTGGAAGAGGAAGAGTCTGCCCCCCAATGCCACAAACAATTCTCGATTTTTATAGTCTGAAATACGGTGCGTTTACTATAGAATTAGTTTGTGCTTCGAAACTGAAAAAGATTGGCTGGAGGAAGGAGGGAGAACACCAGATATTAGGGAGAAAGGAGGAAATGGAGTTAAAGGGGAAGAGACCCAGGCATAGCCAGATACCATGTTATAATTCACTTTAAATTATATATGTACATTACGTTAATTTCGTCAAGAAAAATCGAACCAATTGTTCGTCAGTCACATAATATACAACTTCAATAAAGTAAAAGTTGTCGTGTAGGCAAAATAATACCTGAAACATTTTATGAGGAACGGGTCATTAAGGTCTTGTATTTTGGCAACATTGTCAAAGGCTGCCTCGAACGCCAGTTGTGTCTTCCTCATTCCAGCCCCATAGACTTTCCTAGTCTCCTCACTCGCCCCTTCAATCATCATGTTTATCTGTGCAGCATTCCTGTTCAATAGTCCTGTCTGGTTAACGAGGTTACCTGACAGTAGAGAGACAATTAGTAATTGTTCAAAAGTAACATGCAAGGATATGCGAACAATAAAGTAGGAACTATAGTGTGCTCTAGCCAAGAGCAACCTTCGAAACCGAATTTTCGTCAGCCACGTTAGATATACGTTGAACCACCGCCACTTTGATAGCATTTATACGTAGGCGTCATTGAGCCGTGTTAAGACATTTAACCATGAATGGTTACCATTAAACAGTTATAGCTACAGTTTAAGTGTCAAATGCCCTTTAAATAAAATCTTTCAGAGGTATATTTTTCAATCTCGCCACGTTTCGTAAACCCTAACATTAAACTTTAATAAAATTAAAATTTTATTGAAACTAATTCTAATTTATCATAGTACTGCAGGCATTTGCGGCCCTCCAGAATCAGAATACTTAAAAGGTCACAAGATAAGGTGCCACTTCTCTGAAATAACCCTAGAACAAAGGTCCTTAAATTTAAAAAAAAAAATGGCCCCAGGTTTTGAAGACTAGTTTGCCGAACTGGCAAAAATCTGAGGGAATGGTATATAACATCGATCATCGAGGAAAGTTAGAAAATAGGGGCTGTAGGATTACTCACATGGTCTAACGAGAACAACAGAGGTTCCCGAGGAATCCAACTCCAAGCGTAGACTCTGGGTGAAGCCTTCTATGCCCCACTTTGTGGCACAGTAAATCGCTACGTAACGTTCAGCTATCTGGCCTGCTGGGGAAGACACCATAACCACCCGACCTGCCACAAACAATGACGTTTCAAGGTTAGAAATTTGTAAGAAGCCAATGGTCATCAACCAAAATGTATGCCATTTTTGGCTCTGCTCCCAACCCAAATCCAGCAATGGCTGCCCCACTGGGATCATAGGATGAGAACAATTCCTTCCAGGCACTAACTCGTCTGTCTAGACTATTAAATTTATGGTGCCATTATTTTACGAGGATGCCTGTCCGTCACTAGCGCTCGTAAGCCAAGTGTGAATATAATATACATCTAGGAGGGTGCTGTGCTATGAAGTCGAGTCGTGCATTTATATATAAACATCTTTACTAAAGACCCGAGTGCTGCTATTCAATAAAGGTTCAAGATAATTGATAAAGATCCAGCTGTACGAGCCTATTATGTCAGTATTATAGTAGGTCAGCCAGTATTCTCTACCGTTTGGAGAAGACGGCGTGGGATTTTTTTTTTTTTTTTTTTTGGGGGGGGGGGGAGTAAAGAGGAAGGAGAGGCATAGGTGAAGGGAAGTATAGAAGTGGGGAAATACAGTGAGGTGTGAAAGCAGGCGGGCTGTTCGGCTTGCTGACACAATGTGTGGGTGTTGGCAGCTAAGCTGGCTCTTGTCAGGGAGCAGTGAGTGCGAGAGGTTCTTCACATGCGTTTCACCATATATGGATGTCTATGGATGAATACTGTAGCATTCATATATATACGCACTCCGATGCTGCCACATGTTTTGTTTAAGGCTCTTATTATTTATAGTTACTCATACATACACCTATACATACACCTATACATATACCCGTATACATATGCGCGCGCACACAAATACACTCAATTTTTCCCAATTATTGGGGGAAGGATTTCTGCTCAGCGTTTCATCTGGGAATTAAGTACTGTGGGGCTGGGTTTGCATCAAGTAAATCGAGGCTCTTGGGCCACCAGCTATGGGAGTGGGGCGTCTCATCTTTGAGTAATCTTTCTAACATTGGGTCCTAACATTTCGATGGTGTTCCACACCCTGATAGCTTGGTGCTGCAGTCTGATGTTTAGTGGCTGTATGTTCAGGAGCTCAGAGGAGCTGGATTGTCTGGTCATATGGTGGACTGTTTTGCTGCTCTCCTTAGCGCCTTATTTTGCACCGCTTGCAGTTTCTGCGTGTTAGTTTTCTTTAGGGTGTGTAGTGGTACTGGGGGATACTCTAGATGCTGCCGACCTAGAGCCTTATATAGGCTGATCTGAATGTTTGTACCGAGGCTTCGGAATCTATTTTCCGAAGGCTGCTTTGGCATTTAGTCAGTCCCATACATGAATTTGTATCCCTGTTCTATTTATCAGGAGTTCCAGTATTCTGCCTACCTCCGCACCGTGTGGTAGTTTATAAAAGGTGTGGACGGCATTGACACCCCTCCCTCGAGTGGGGGGGGGGAGGGGGAGATATCAAGCACCAAGACTTCAATTGATCTTTAAATTACTTTAAGTGACGACTAGAGGAATGCTAACTACGAGCGATCATGAAAAAAAAATTGTTTAAGCATTACAAAAGTAGTCCCTCAGTTTGCACACGAGAGGGCGAGTAGCACGGTTACTGGTAGGCACACCAGCACAGAGGAACTGACCCCACGTGCCCAGTGCACCAATTCTCTCCCCCCCCCCCCCCCCTCTGCGCTTCAACATCTACATTTTCTCGTTTCCAACGAGAGCCCATGTTTCAAGCGACACCATTATGCTATAGATGGTGCAGTGGGGTTTGTCAGTGAAGAGAAACTACAAATCAATACATGTTGCAGGTGCTCAATGAGAATGTAATTTTCAAAAGGCACCAAGGCAGGGAGACTGTAGCACCGGCAAGTGTGAGGGATATTATAAAAGCGCTAAATATCATTAATGATGCCAATACAAGAACAAAGTGCCTAAGGGGAACACCAAAGGTATCCAATTCGCCAAGGATTCTATCGAGGGACAGGTAACCACGAGGAGTGGTCGGGAAGGAAGATACGCACATCCTGGAAGTGCATTCAGCAAGGATAGGCATGACTATAAGATTGACAGTGCAGTTTGGACAATAAGGAGCAGGGCAGCGAACCATTAAGTGCCCGAGAGTTAAACGTGTATGGCCAACGCATAAACTCAGCCGTTTCCCCACCACCGGTTAAAGAGGTAGGAGGAAGGCCGGGGGAAGACAATCAGTGAACAGGCACGGATTGAGGAATCAACAATAAAGTCTAAATAAGGAACACCTATGCGGGAAATGGGACAAGTGCGGATAGCCTCCTTCACAGCAGCATCCGCATGCTCATTTAAGGAAATGCCAATATGGCTAGGAATCCAGCAAAACTATTGTCTTAAGTCTGTTGGAGATGAAAAACCCAGTATTTCGACGACCACATGGACAGAATTAAAGGACTAGCGTCATGAGGGCACTGACAGTACTACAAAAAGGAATTATGGCGAGAAAGCAGTTTACGAAGAGCATACAAAATTACACAAGTTCTGCCGTGAAGATGCTAGTCTACGGAGGCAGGCGACACAGGTGCAGTCAGGAAATACAACAGTTGCCTACACCACTAGCAGGATTAGACTCAAAGGTCTAATGCTCAAAAGGCACAAGTCTTAAAAGTAGAGAACACTAAGCCATGACTAATGGTCCAGGACGACACCAATTGCAATTTGAAGCCACCATTGGAGGAAAGTCACCTTGACAGCAGAGTAAAATCAAAGAGCACAAAGTCAGAAGGCAGTGAAGAAAATTGAGGGCAACCAGAGAAAAAGAAAAAAGGTTCAGAACCACCTTGGGGCACACTATCTTCATATTACCGAAAAGAGGTAGAGCGATACCAAGCTGCACTACAGGAACGACTAGAAAAAGTTTTGGAAGAAGCGATTACCATGAAGGCGAAGAGAACCGAGTAGGGACAATATATGCCATCTCCAGGTGGCATCTTATGCCTTTTCCAGGATAAAAAAAATAAGACAGCAACCACGGAAGTCTTTGCAGCAAAGGCACTACGACTATAGATCTCCAAGTTCACGAGAACATCAGTCGTACTGCAACACTCAAAACCCAAATTGAGAAGGCGAGGCAATAGCACTCAAGGAACCACGAACATTGATCATACGCTCAAAGAGTTCGAAAACCGTTAGATGAACGAGGCGGAAGTCTTTAGGGGAAGGGGGACCCCAGGAGAATCAGGTTTTCGAATAGGATGAACCGCCGCCTCAAGCCAGTCCTCAACGATTGGTTACGATGCCCAGACACTTCTAAACATATGGTAAATACAAACAGGCATGGAGGCAGATGGCAAAAATAATCTATTAATATCATCCGAGCCCCTCTGCCACAAAACCACAGAGGGACAGGGAAGACTGGAGTTCCGAAGAGGGATCGCTATAGGGAAGCCGAGTGCAAAAATCCAAGGGACAAGATTCAAGAAGGGGCTTACGAGTAAGGAAAAACAGTAAGATTAGAATTTGAGCCGACAGTATAAAAGTGAACCCAGTTCGGTCGAGACCGACACCTGTTCCGCCACAATAGCACCACGGAGGTGAAACTAGCAAGAAATCCGAAATAAACTTCCCCGCTATCTTTTAGATTTTCTTCCACATCAGGGGCAGAGGAGTCAGACGTAATGGTGGAAACTAAAGAGATCTCCAACCCTCACACAGCCGTACAGATGTACAGGCCACCGCACTTGCGCTCCAAAACAAAAATAATCGGGCGTCCGTCGGCGCCGGTGTTTCTTCCAGGCTGCATGCTTATAGCAGACATCCCCGAGCAGTCTGTATTCCACCAGGAAACGCACTTCATCGCGCCCCAGGAAGTAGAGCGAATAACAGAAGGCACCATAAAAAAATAAACTCATGAAAGAAGAGGAGGGATCTGGGGAAAGGCAGATCTGGTTCGAAATAGTAGCGCACAAGGCGAAGAGGTTCTAGTCAGCATTGGCAAACTGCCATCTAGGGAAGGAGAGGCAAAGGCAAAAAGGTGACAAAGATAGGTAAATGGTTACTTGTGTAGGTCAAGAACCTGCCAGGTGAAGTCTAAAAGACGTGTGACACGTCATCAAACGTCAAAAACAACACGGGTGATCTGTTATGTATGTGCAATCAAATATTGTTAAGCTAACGCTTGAGCTAAAAGACATTTACGATCAAATAATTCAAACCGTTTATAACGGGTTTGGAGAAATCTTTTTAGATGCGTCAAAAGGAACTGTAAAACCTTTCTAATTAGATCGATTTTGGCAGCAATTCGATCCCAAAATAGCATAACCTTAGCTCTTGCATCGTCGGGAATAGCTGCGCCATTGCCACCAGGTGGAAGAACTGCTACTTCGGCTTTGAAATTGCCATTGAACATGTAGTTCATTGAAACTTCCACGTGCAACTGGGAGAAACTCCAAAGCATCCGGCATGGGAAAAGTATTGCAGAAATGTAAACTTATTGTTTGGGATGAATGCACATCCCAAACAAAAACATCCCACACACACACACACACACACCCTCCTAAAAAAAAGCGCTTGAGGCTCTTGATCGATCATTGCACGACTTGTGTGAAAACATCAGACCATTTGGGAACGCATTAATATTACTTGCAAGAGATTTCATGCAGACATTACCTGTAATTCTTAGATCGACACTAGCGGACGAAATAAATGCTTGCCTGAAATACTACAAATATGCATGTCCAGCTGCAAAACGTCTCATCAGCCGAGATACTCACAAAATTCTGAAAATTGGGAACGGAAACGTGCCGGTTGATCTGACCTCAGGACGAATTTCATTGCCTCATAACTTCAATTTAGTGAAGTTTAAAGAAGAATTGGTTGAAAAAAAGTATTTTCCCAATATTCAAACCAATTATAAGAATCACGATTAGCAGAGTGAACGAGCTATTCTTGAGGCCAGGAACAAAGACATCTAAGAACTTTATATTATTCAGTCTAACATACAAAGCAAGGCAGTCACATACAAGTCCATCGACACTGGTGGAAGCAGATGAAGCGATTAATTATCC